CCAGGCATCCTCCCCGCCCACGTGCAACGCCGCACATGGGCAGCAGCAGGCGATGAGAAGGTGCCGTGCACGGCGGGGACGCTCTGGGGGCGGGGTGGGAAGACATGTGCGCGGGGGGGAATCTGCGCCTGCTCCAGGCAGAGCCGGGGGAGAGACCCAGCTCCACATATCGGTGGAGCAAGACCCCCGGCTCTGTAACTCGCTCAGGGGCGCGGGGCCCGAATCGGCCTAAGGCCAGTCCTGCCGGCAGCCACCAGCCACGCTGAGGCCTGGTTTTTTTTTTTCCCCGCGGCCCATAGTTTGGGAAACTCTGAGTTAGAGCTAAATAACAGCACAGAACCCTGAGAGCTAGAACTAGTGGCTGTAAACAAACCTTATGGGACCATGGGACACTTGTCCACACCCATGGAAAGTGGACATTCATTTGACTAAAATCATTCCAGACGATGGATGTTTCTGGACTAGAGAGGTTCAACCTGTATTTCATAATGGTGTCAAACAAATTAATATGACAAGCACTTCACTTACAAAGTGCTCTACTTGCTCCTACTACATTTGAAATGCAGTGCAGCAGTGGGATTTGGTCCCGGACCTGGCATGAGCCAGGACTGAGTCAGGCTGCCTGCCTGCCCAGCTCTTACTACATTTAAATGGCAGAGCCGCAGTGGAGGTAGCTACCGGATCTGGTGTGAGCCGGGACCGAGCTGGGCTGCTTGTCCACCCAGCTCCTTCTATATTTTAAATGCAGAGCCGAAGCGGGGATAGTAAAATATCTGGAGCCTGAAGAAATCAGAAGCCTGTCCATGGAGGCAGCATTGTGATGAGGCTATGGACTGTCTTAGCTTAACTGACATAAGCAGAAAACTCGTGCAGGACATTACAGCAGAAAAAGCAGCAAGGCATTCACATATATGGCGCATGCCATCAATGACATTTTTAAAATAGCGTATTTGATAGGCAAAGAGTCACTTGCCAGTTGAAAATATTTGTAAAAAATGTAGGCAGTGGGGCAACTTCAGGCTAACTGTCTTTTTTGGAAGTATAAGACCCCAATGTTATTTAACCACTCCCATCACCCTAAGGTTTAGGTCTATGTCATGTTTCTTCCTTTCTCTCCATGCGTACCTGCTGTCTTTGTCTGTTCTTTCGTTGATGAGAGGAATCCATCTGCTTGTTACCTAAAGCAGCAAATTAACCCTTATCAAGAAACATACACTTAGGCTAATATGACTGAATTGCATACAATAAACTTGGGAATGGCTGGTCTTGGTCTCTTGTTTTCTGGGCTTATTGTGATTTGGGAGGAGCATCAAATTTGGCCATGAATAAAGGAAAAGCACAGGCCGGGGTGGCCAGCCTGTGGCTCACCTGAAGTTAATATGCGGCTCCTTGCTCAGGCACTGACTCCAGGGCTATAGCTACAGGTGTCAACTTTCCAGTGCTTAACACTTGGCTCTACCTCCTCCTCCAAGTGTATAGCGCCCTCGCTCCTTCCCGCCCCTACAGAGCTTCCTGAGTGCCATGAAACAGCTGACTGCAGTGGGCAGGAGACATGGGGAAGGAAGAGGAGGCACTGATCGGTGGGGCTGCTGGTGGGCAAAAGATGCTGGAGACGGGAGGAGGCGGCACCCGATGGGGACTGCTGACAAATTACTGTAGCTCTTTGGCAATGTACATAGGGAAACTATGGCTCCTTCTCAGGCTCAGGATGGCCACACCTGGCATAGGCTGACTCAAAGTCAGCAAAGGCTGACTTCCCAGCTGACTGTTGCATGGTATTAACAGGCAGAAGAGAATTTTATCCAGTACCCCTTGTTTGTGAGAAAGGCCCAACAGAATATCCTGAGGTATCAATGTTAAACAAGATGATTGACAGGCACCACCAGAAAAAAGTACTACTGGTAGGTTACGCACCATGAAATATTTTCCAGTTAGATTTTATGGACTTTAAATACAGGCAGTCCCCGACTTACGCGGATCCAACTTACGTCGGATCCGCACTTATGAACAGGGCTTTCTCGTCCCGGAGGTCGAGGTGGCGGATTGCTGCCTGCGAGCTCCGGGGCGAGAAAGCCCCGTTCGTAAGCTGCTCCCGGTGCCCCTGGTCTGCTGGAGACCGTCCCCAGCAGACCACAGGCCCGGGGAGTGAAGCCTCAGAAGCGCGGGAACCCACCGCTGCTGCGGCTTCAGTTCCGGTGCCCCTGGTCTGCTGGAGACCGTCCCCAGCAGACCACAGGCCCGGGGAGTGAAGCCTCAGAAGCGCGGGAACCCACCGCTGCTGCGGCTTCAGTTCCGGTGCCCCTGGTCTGCTGGAGACCGTCCCCAGCAGACCACAGGCCCGGGGAGTGAAGCCTCAGAAGCGCGGGAACCCACCGCTGCTGCGGCTTCAGTTCCGGTGCCCCTGGTCTGCTGGAGACCGTCCCCAGCAGACCACAGGCCCGGGGAGTGAAGCCTCAGAAGCGCGGGAACCCACCGCTGCTGCGGCTTCAGTTCCGGTGCCCCTGGTCTGCTGGAGACCGTCCCCAGCAGACCACAGGCCCGGGGAGTGAAGCCTCAGAAGCGCGGGAACCCACCGCTGCTGCGGCTTCAGTTCCGGTGCCCCTGGTCTGCTGGAGACCGTCCCCAGCAGACCACAGGCACCGGGAGTGAAGCTGCAGCAGCGGCGGGTTCCCGCGCTTCTGAGGCTTTGCCAGAGCAAAGCCTCAGAGGCGCGGCACCCCGCTGCCTCTGCAGCTCTGCTCCCCGTGTCCCTGGTCTGCTGGGAGGGGTGGGAGCGCAGCTAGTGTGCCCCCCCCCCAGTAGACCAGGCTTTTGTTGTGGACCCTGGGGCAGAGCAGCTGGGGTGCTGCCGGGTTGGTCCAGTAGTGCCCAGAGCGGCACTGCAGGACCAATCGGCAGCGCCCCAGCTGCTCTGCCCCAGGCATCCCCAAGTCAGCCGCTGCTGAAACTGACCGCCAGTTCTGCCTTACATACAGATTCAACTTAAGAACAAACCTACAGTCCCTATCTTGTACGTAACCCGGGGACTGCCTGTACTCCAGAACAAAGTTTTCGCTGTGCCTTCAGTACCTTTTCACAAGAGACATCTTAAACCAGGGATCTCAAACGCCCAGCCCACAGACCAGCCCAGGCCAGAATGATTCACAATCAGCCCAGGACTCCTAGCAAGCTGGGGATAGGGACCTGTCCATTAATGGCCCTCAAGTCCCGCCACTGCCCGCCATTGCCCAACCCTCTCATTCCCATGACACCCTGTCCCCCGAAAGTGTGGCTTTGGGAATTACTGGGAGGACCTGGTACCAGGAAGCAGCAGTGGTTGCATCCCCCTGCCCCACCTGGAGCAGCAGGAGCCATAGGGAAGTGGAGCACAGTGGAGCAAGTGCACTCAGTGCACTCTGCTTCTCCTGAGGCTCATGTAGGAGCAGGAGGTAGAGGGGGATGTGACCACTGCCGCTGCGCCGACCCCCTAATCCTCGAAGCCACATCCTGAAGGAACAGAGCGCCATGTGGGGGGTAGGGCAGGGGTATGGCGGGAAAGGGTGAGACTTGGGATCCAGCAACAGATAGCACCTTCTTTCCCCACCCACCAGGTCTGGATTGCACAACTGGAAGTTTGAGATCCCAGTCTTAAACAGTGGCTAGATACTATAAAAAGTGTTTTCATCATACCTTGTCAATGGAATTCTTGTTGTTAACAGCATATACTATGCAAATTACATTAGCCTAAAATGAAAAAGAGGAACCATTGTATCCTGAGTGCGTGCATTCCCTAGAACAGCAAACAGTTAACAAGCATACCTAGCAACATCACAACAAAATAAAACATGCTTCCTTGTTGGCCAGTGTCTGGCCCCTAGCTTGCTCATACAATTTAGAGCCTACTGGTGACCTGTAGAGAGCAGAGAAATGAATATAAGAACGGCCCTACTGGGTCAGACCAAAGGACCATCTAGCCCAATATCCTGTCTGCCGACAGTGGCCAATGCGAGATGCCCCAAAGGGAGTGAACAGAACGTGATCCTTCTCCTGTCACCCATTTCCAGCCTCTGACAAAGAGGCTAAGGACACCATTCCTGTCCATCCTGGCTAATAATACTGATGGACCTATCCTCCATGAGTTTATCTAGCTCTTTTATGAACTCAGTTAAAGTCCTGGTCTTCACAACATGTTCTGGCAAGGAGTTCCTCAGGTTGACTGGGTGCTGCATTAAGAAATACCAAGAAATGCCCAAATCAATTTTCTGCCACGGTACATCCCAGGGCAATGGTGGTATAGACTTCTAAGCTATCTGCATCTGAGTTCCCAGAGCTGCAGTTCTCCAGTTTGGCTACCCACCAAGGAGAGCACATGAAAACATTTTCTATATGCAGAAGATACAGTGGTGCACTGAAGATGCTCAGCAAGTATTGAGGGCAGGAAATGAAGGGTTCTAGTAATTCCACATACACCCCCCTGCAGCAGTTTGCTCTTAAGGGTTAACTGAATTTTTCAGGCATTGGGATATTTTTGCTGTAAACATCATCAGGCTCTTGGATGACTGCCTAAAAAAAGCTGGTTTGTCCCTTTCCACACAAATTGCCAAAAGGGGAGGAATATAGTGCTGATGGCTGCTGTATTCTCTGGTCACGGTAGGTGGGAAAGGCAAAGCTGACCATTTGCAATGATTATGCAGAAAGCACAAAATCCCAAGTAAGTGTGTGTAAGGCTGGCCCTGACCACATTATCCCATGGGAACCAGGAACGGCAGTGCTCTGTGGGCACATCTGTTTGTTTTTCACAGGATTTAAGTTTGATTCGGGTTTTGCCATCTCATTATACTTCAACCTGGACTTGCAAATACCACATTCTACCATTGCTGGATTTCAAGTCTGCCTCTACAGTGCTCCTGTCTGGTGAAGTGAGGGACAAAGTGCTTAACCCTCAAAGGAGTAAGTGATTTGAATTACTACAAAGCAATCCCATCTCACTAATAGTGATAACTGCTCCCATGTTGTTCTTAGAAAGCAAGTGGCACCCAATCTTCCTCAATCAGACACATTTTTGCTGTGCCAAAGGGCTCCAACATGAAAGTGGGGGGAAATGTTGAAGAATGGGAGGGCTTTTTTCCAATAATTCAAGCCAGAAGCCCTCTAGAATGAATAAACTTTAAAAAGTTGGTTATAAACAGCAAAGGGAAATCAAGCAGCAGAAGCTGTCTAATTAGATTCTAGCTAATCCTAAGTTGTTGCTTACCTGTGATATTTCATGATGAAGCTGTTCATCACTTTGCTCTGCTTCTGCAAGCAACAGGAAAAAAATGCCATTGAAACTGAATATCTTCATGAACTAAACCAGAGAATATTTTACAGTGCTCATTCAGGGCAGAGCCATCCTGGGAATTGCCCATTTGATTTTTAATCACTTTTAGCAAAGTATATGGGGGAAAAAAATATGCTTCTAATGCAAAGGCAGTGAAACTGAGGCCCTTGTCACCAGGCTGCAACTGGCTTTTGCACACAGGTTTCCAGTTTGAACTTTAAAACTGAATAAGTGCAGTGGCAAGACAGGCTTCCTCTGGACTGCAGCAGGGACTGGGTCCGCAGCATTTTCTGCCAACCCCTTCTTTGGGTGCTAAACTGATGCTGTTACTCTCTACAAGGACATGTTTTATGCTGGAATGTACTCAGTGAAGCCTTCCCAGAAGCAGGGCAGAGTTTAACTGACAACATTAACTGATAAGCATTAGCTTATCGCCATGGTATCCAACACGCAAGTCACGAACCACATGTGGCTATTTGGCCAGTTGTGTGTGACTAGTTGGCTTGAAGAATGTGGCTATTTGGCTGGCTGAGTGCGGCTAGTTCGCTTCAGAATGGTTGGACACACTGGGCTTATCGGTTAACCCAGAGGTTCTCAAACTTTGTGATACCGTGACCCCCTAAATTGCTAAATGAATTTGTGTGCCCCCCCCCGCTCCAAAGGTGCTAAGAAAAAAAAAAGGGGAGGGGGAGCCAAAGTTGTTAAGCAAAAGTTGCACCACTTTGTCCAGTTTGGGACTGCACAGTAACCACCAATGCACTCATCCCTCCCCCTGAGCCATGCCCCCCAGTCTCCTCATCCCAATGCTCTCACCTCTGCCTCAGAGCAAGGCCCCCCAGCACCTCCCAGCCCAGTGCATTCCCCCCTCCCTCAGACCCCCCAGCACTGGGAGCCAAAGTTGTTAAGCAAAAGTTGCACCACTTTGTCCAGTTTGGGACTGCACAGTAACCACCAATGCACTCATCCCTCCCCCTGAGCCATGCCCCCCAGTCTCCTCATCCCAATGCTCTCACCTCTGCCTCAGAGCAAGGCCCCCCAGCCCCTCCCAGCCCAGTGCATTCCCCCCTGCCTCAGACCCCCCAGCACTCTCCCATCCCAGTGCACTCCCCCCTCCCCCTGAGGCAGGCATCCTCAGTGTCCGGAGCCCCGCTCCAATCAAATCTCCCCCCTCCCCACAGAGCCAGGCACGGAGCAACAATCTTACTTTTAAAGTAGTTGCTCCTGCCACCCAGCCCAGCTGCCTCAGCTCGCAGCTTGTAGGGGAAGCATCACGTGGCCAGCTGCCGGTCTCTGCTGGTCACGTGGGCCAGAACAGCACATGCTCCGCTCCCACCCAGCCCGGCATCCCCCTAGCGTGGCACCCGGCAACTGTCCCCCCTTCACTAGACTCTGCGGCGCTCCTCACTCCACAGCCCCCGCCAGACGCGGCAGGGGTCCAGGTGAAAACCGAACACCTGGCAACTGAGATGTCGGGGAGAGATAAATTTTTGCATTAAAAAACCAGATCCAGCTGTGACCCTCCTGTAAGTTGCTCCTGACCCCCCTGGGGGTCACGACCCACATTTTGAGAAACACTGGGTTAACCAGTTAAACTCTAACATCCTTAAATGTACCAATATTAGCTGACACAAAACATGAAAATTAACACACACACAAAAATAGACAAAAAAAGTCAAATCCACCCCTATCCAGCCACAATAGTTGAAAAGCTGTTGATGCAGCTTCACTCTTGGTTCCCCACCTTTGAATGTCTGACAGGAGTTTTTCTTAGGGGCTCCTGACTTTGGAATTGCTTTCTATATTGTTCTGACAGAGCCTGAGTTTGTTGACTTTTGAGGCATGGCATAAAACATAACTGTTGGCTTGAGTTTCTGCCTGCTGGTCAATGGTAGGGTATATTTATGCCTTCTATTCGATTTCAGTATTCAAACTATTAATATTTATTTAGCAAGCATCAGATGAGAATGGAACATTTTAAATACATGAAAATAAGAGTAAACAAATTTACAGAAGTTTAAACAATATTGTCATCTCATCCTGTTGTGCCAAGATAGCACAGTACATAGAATATGTAAAAGCTGCCTACATTTGTATTGACTTCTTCACTAAATGGAGTGAGAGCAGTTTGGGATTTCCCTGAATTTAGCTGCCTTGTGCCTGATCCTGCAAACACTTACTACCATGATTAGACCACCCATTGACCTTATTAGAACATTGCTACTGTTGATTTCAGTGGGACTACCCACAACAGCAAGGGTTAGGTTCAGTGGAGTTTGCAATCTACCCCTGTCAATCTACAACACTGACACTCGCAAAACCTACATTAAAGTAATGTTAATTTCATCTCCAGTACTGGCAGAAGCTGGAAGTTTTGATGAGGCTACTGAAGCAGGAAAGCAATCCTGGATCACAGTAAGTCTTATAGCCGTGTGTACTATAGAACCGCTACCTGAATAATCCACTATGTGCGTTGGTACTCTTTCAGGGGTGACATCAGCAGGGATGGTAATTTCTTCTGCACGTGGAGGAACCTTGTTTTGAAAAGAAACAAGAAGGAGGAAAAATCTCTATAAAAGCGGCCAATACAGCAGGTAAATGAACAAAACATGGTTTATAAAAAGCGCTTAGATACATTTCTCCAGTGATTAGGAAGCTTTAAATAGAAGTGATTATTAATTTTGTTATACTGTGTTTGATGTGTAAGGAATTTCAAGTCTAAGCACTGCTATGCCAGAGAATCATTGTTATTGAAAGAGTTGGAATGAAGGCTGAAGTAAATTTCAGTCCCAAAAATGTTAGAGGCAACATTATTGCAAGGCATCCTACAAATTCACTGCTGAATTGTAAATTATTTAAAACTTGTTCACTTATACCATATTTAACAATTAAGCCTTAAGCTTAAATATATCATTTATGTAATATTATTCTGTAGAATTGTTAGGATTGAAAGCTTTTTTTATATATATTTGTATTTTAGGTTTAGCAATATAATAATGTAGCAATAACATAGCAATATACATTTAATATTGTATTGAATTAAGTCCTTTTAGTTAAATATCTATTCCTTTGCCCTAAAAGTGAGTTTAGTAAATGGGCCTAAGTGGAAAGAGAGTTCTGGATATTGTGTCTGTGTTAATAAGATTTGAAAAACGTTGAAGATCAAAGCCTTAATTGTTTGATTTGCAACGCCTCTTTGCTTTACCTGATGCAGATCTATGTAATCTCGAAAGCCCTTGTAACATTGCTCATGTGTGTAAGAGGAGTGTGAATGTGTCGAGATAAGATGCAAAGTTGTATTGATTAGAACAGAGAAGGGGGGTGAGCGAGCGTGGGCAAAGGCCAGAACATGAGACAACCTGGCTGCAAAGAAACCATCTATAACCATCAATGTGTACCCCCTACTCACAAGAGGATTGGCAGATTGACGAACCTTGAAGCAGAGCGGGCACCCCCAAAAGATGATTGATTACAGGATGAGCCTTGGAAGATGTTTGGGAACAACTGACATCAACAAGATAACATTCCGGTCACAAGCTGACAGAGAGGAATCCATGGATTTCAACAGAGAAAAGGATTATAAAAGCAAGGTGCTTTGCTATGGAACTTTGGGTTCATCTGCCACCAACCCCAGAGGAGCATCAGATCGTGACCAACAAAGGCCCTGCTCCCCCGTGTTCGATCTAGCTGGCCACTAGATTGACAGAGACTCTGCACTGGTAACTATGACATCATCTGGCAAGACTGTGTATGCATGATGTTTTGTGTGTGTGTGATTGAAAAGCATATGCAACTGTTGTATTCTCAATAAATGCGGTGTACTGCCTTTTCCACTATAAAAGATCTCGTGAGCTTCGTTTAAGCATAACAGAATGGGTACATTTTTCATTTCCTTGCTTATTTGCCCAGACTCTAGGACAGTGTTTCCCAACCAGGGTTCTGTGGAACCCTGGGGTTCCGCAGACCATCATCAGGGGTTTCGTGAGAAATCGTGGAATGAATAAATAAAAATTTTGAAATACCGCGAACAATTCCAAATATCCTTCGAAATACCGCGGGAATTTTTGTCCAGCAATTGGCAATACTGGAATAATCTTTGTACGCTACCAACTGCCTCTCTGTTTTGTTTTGGTCAGTTCGTATCTAAGGTTATATTTAGTTGTATTGTGCCTGCCCTTCTGCTTCCCAGAATTCTCTGCTGACATATATATAACAGCTCTTTACAAATAAATTTTCTTGACAATAATTTAGCAGTAATTGAATTGCACTCCCCGCTGTCAACTTTTTCTGGCCAAGCAAATGTTTTCATAGGTAGGGGTTCCTCGGGATATGAAAAATTATTTTAGGGGTTCCTCCATGGGAAAAAGGTTGGGAATCACTGCTCTAGGACCCTGCAAGGGGGAGGGGCCCAGAGCTTGAGTCTGAATGTCTAGACTGCAATTGTATAGCCCTGGAATCCAACCTGGGTGGCATGGGTCAGCTGTGAGTGTTTTATTACAGTGTAGACATATCCTAAGAGTACAGCTACACATCAAAAAAATGACCTGAGCCAGCAAGTCTCAGAGCTCAGGTCAACTGACTCGGGCTTGCAGGACTCTCACTCTCTTGCTGGGATTCAGGGCCCAAGCTACAGCCTGTGCCCAGACTTTTATGCTGTTATTTTTAGGTCCACTGTGCAAGCTCTGCAAGCCTGAGTCAGTTGAACAGGGCTTTGAAACTCCCTGCAGCAAGTTTGTTTGTAGGTTTTGGCAACATGCCAAATTAAAAGTGCTGCCAAAAATCTTATTTTAATTTTTCAGTTCTTTTTGCACAAATGGTTTACGAGGCCTGGCCCTGCTCTGTTGAAGGAAATGGCAAAACTCCCACTGACCTGAATGAAGCAGACTAGGCCCCTGAAAACCACTCATCTTCACAGTATGGGAAACTTGCGTAATACAGATGACATGTAATATATAAAGCTCTCTCTCCAAAAAGTCACAATACATGTTAAGCTCTTTTCTTTGACGGATTCTGCTACTACATTATATCTACAGAAGTCTACAGTGAACTCAGAAATGATACTCCTGAAAATTAGTGCTTTGAAAAATTGTGCGCATCAACCATGGCAGGTAATTTATTCCCTGTATTACCAAATAGTACCAATCCAGATTCAGGAACATAGTGGTAATAATCATGGTAAATAACAGGTCAGTCATACATGGCACTTTTCATCCACAGATTGCATAGCAGATCGGTCTCATCACCCCCATTTTACAGATGGGGAAATCTGAGGCACAGAGAGGTGAAGTGACACGCCCAATGTCACTTAGCAGGCCAATGGCAGAACTGGGAATAGAATCCAGGTCTCCTGAGTCCTAGTCCAATGCTCCATCCACTAATCCATATTGCTTTCCTAACATCACAACATCAATCTATAGTCTAAAGGAAATTCATCCACCTGCCCTGACTCTTTGCCTGGCCATATCTTTATGTACTTGTAATAAGCCTGACTGCTCAAAGAATGGCCTTGTATAAAGCTGCAGACCATAGTCACATGTCTCCCAAGAATGGCAGCACCTGGTGTATAAAATAAGACAACCCCCATGACATAGCTACACAGTTCTGACCTGTATAACAAACACAGGAATGATTCCAGCAAGTCCTTCTGAAGATTTATATTTGATAGAGTTAAGTCTGAAATTATCTTTGCTGTTTTTAGCAGATTGCTGAGGTAAGTGTAGATTAAATTTTCCTTTTAAAAAGGTACTCGTTGAAGTGGACTCTACCATGTGAAGGCTGTGAAATGCTACAAGACATTCAGAAGGGTAACTATGGCAAGGAGCCCAAACAATAATGTAACAGTACAGTAAAACATCTATAGCCTTGCTCTTGGGCTTCAGACACATACTGCCTTATGTTAGGAAATGCAACACTGCAGTTTAAGAGTGATCCTTCATGGTATATGAGGCCAGCTTCAAGTCCCACATTCCAAACTTTAAACATTCACTTTAAAAGATGATAAACTATTGTTCCCCTAATACTGTGTCAAGAAAAGGAAACCAGCTAATGTTAGCAATAAGATGCTGTAAGTTTGATTTTCTCAAAGGAATAGCCAGATAAATGTTTGAATACAATCTACTCCATAAAAACCCAACCCTTTCCTCATTTCTCTGAAAAAGGTTTAGACACAATTATTTACATCTACTGGGATATGTATAGAGATGTTAAAATGCGATTATTTCCCTAATCGAATAGTTGATAGATTTTCTGTCGACTATTCGATTAGTCGACAAGGGAAGGCAGTTGCGGTACTCAATTTGGCTCGTGCCCATTCACAGCGCAACTGCTCTAGCTGCCGCTCTGCACTGTAAAGCACAGAGAAGCCAGCGTGCGAATGCACTCAGTCAGTCCCTGCTCTGTGGGTCACATTTTTACAAGTAATGCCTTCTTGCAGAGAGTTCACCCTCCCTTCTTTAATATCTTGTCCTCTATTATTCCCCTCTGTTGATCTAAGTTATTTTCTGACTATTCTTAAAGGAGTAACAGGAGTACATGGATTAAGAAGAACAAGTGTGAGTTCAATTAAGCATATGAAAAGAACAAGGAAAAAATAACTTAAATATGACTACTGTTCATATGTTTATGAAGCAATTTAAGACACTCTTCGAGAAGCCAATACATTTTATTACATTTCTTAATACTTTAATAAGAAAAACTCCACTGATTATAAATTTAAAACTAACTCACTAACTTGAACTTACATTCACTTTTTTGTAAATGGTTAAGTAGCTTGTCTAGGAGAGAAGCACAATTTAGAGGACAAATAGGGATGTCCTACCTCATCTGGAAATTCTTCACTGACAAGAGACATAATGAGCGATGTCTTTCCAACTCTGGCTGTGAAGGGAAAAAAATGGAATATTAAAAATTTAACAAAAATGTCTCTCTATAAAATATAAACATAGGTCCTCAGCATCTTCACAGGATTATTGAGAGTCAGACTTCTGTGCGTTTTCAAATACATACCTAAACTTTTCAGCTAAGAGAATAAAAATAAATCTTGTTTGCCTTGTTCAGATTTACCTGATTAAGATGAGCCAGCTTTAGTCACACATTACTACAATGTGTAGCAATTCTGAAAGTATTTAGGAGTGCATGAAGAATATTTACTGTAACACAAGAATTCAGGAAGGAAAGGGATTAAAAGAATCAACGTAGCAAGTGACACACGCATTAAGAAAACGATTAAAAGACAAGGATGTCTTCAATAAAATCCGATGAACAGTGAAGAATATACTACAGGGAGCACTTTCTGAAGCCAGTTTGGATTGTAGACTCCATGAAGATCAGACTATTTTTTTCTATGTTTGTCAAATTCTAAGCACACTTTTGATGTATATTCCTCCTCCCCCTCAAAAAAAAAAACCCCCAATAAAACTGGTAAGAAAAAAGGACTCTAGCTGACTCTGTGCTTCTCTGATTTCTCATTATTTTAAATATGCTTGTACGAGAAGATACTGGTAATTTCACATGGCTAGTTTCATCAAAAGAAAAATGCTAAGTTTAGGCAAGTATATGATCATTAGTCTCAATTCATCCAGGTAAAAGAAGTGAGGTTCTTATAGTTCAGAAAGAAATTCTGGTCATTAATACACTATTACTGGGAACATCAGAGCTTACCCTCAGATTACGGATTGGATTCTGTGTTGACTTTTCAATCAACTAGGCTACTGTTTTACCATATTCTAAAGTGATTAGTGTCATGCCCTTTAGTAATTACTGTATAAAGACAGAGCAAAGGAGACCCAGCTAGCAAGTAACAGAGCTTTACAAAGGCTGCTATTGAGAGCAATTTGCATAATCCTCCAAAGAATATTATGAATGATGTTGCATAATTACATATCAAGGCTCCCCAAACTTTCACAGAGTAGATTACAGTAATTACTTACATTGATAATAAATACTGTAAAAGCATTAATGTATTTTTAGCTTCTTTTAAAGTAATTTAGCAATTGGAAAGGAGAAAAGCAAGTACTATCTGACAAGCCAGGCCTCCACATATCAGAGTCTAGGAATCTTACATATGTAATCCTACTTTTATACTATAGTTATTCTTGACACTATGATTCCACCTCAGTCCCAGACTCTTAGGACACGTCTACACAGCAGGGCTAAAGCCAAAATAAGCTTCGCAACTTGAGCTACATCAATTGCATAGCATAAGTTGAAATAGCATAATTCAGCTTTTGGCGCTGACTACACAGCAGGAAGTCTGAGAAAGAGCACTCTTCCTCTGATTTCCCTCACTCCTCGTAAAATGAAGGTTACAGGAGTAGGAATAAGAAGTCCTCCAGCTCGACATTGCGTCAAAATAACTGCTTGTAGTGTAGACAAGACTATGTTATTTCGGAATAATGTCAGTTATTCCAAAATAACACTGCTGTGTAGATGTACCCTTATTGTCCTTGGGATAAAGGGCAGGGCTCTTGTTAGATTAAGAACAATGGACTAAGACCAGATCTATGCCTAAAACTTGGGTCAACCTAGCTACATCACTCAGGATTTTCATGCTCTTTGTAATGCAGTTAAGTCAACCTAACTCCCACTGTAGGCACACCTAGGTCACAGAAGAATTCTTCTGTCAACCTAGCTACTGCCTCTTGAGAGGGCCTTCCCCCCACCTATCACATATTAGGAATGTAAAATCCCAGTTAATCAATGAACTGCCTAAAAGTTAGATTAGCCTAACGTTTAACGACTAGTCAGATCCCACTATTCCAGCCCCCTAGCCAGTGAAACTCCCACTCCAGCCCCTGCTGGGGCCACCTCAGGCGCCGGGCTCCTGCGCCGGGGCCGAGGCTACCTCAGCCGCCGGTCTCCCAACCACTAGCCACATGGGGCTGGAGCAGTCCTCCACCCATGGCAGACTGCGGGCAGAGGGCTGCTCCCTGGGTAACTGGTTAGCCATTCACATTCCTATTACAGCTACATAGCTGCAGCTATGGTGCTGTACTGCTTATAATGCTAAAATATCCTGAGTCTTCAACAATCTGTATTCTGTCTGCTTTCACATTACAAAATATGGCAAAATGCCTGATATGAAGTTTTTGTTTTGTTATTAAAAAATCTAATTGTTCTAAAAACAACAAGGACTGCTGAATTTTGCGACCAGTGTAAAAAATGATTATTTGGATTTCACTTCAGGAAATTATTAAAAGTGCAGCTACCGCACAAGTCTCTTAAGCCAGAGATGCAACTTTGTTCTGGTGAGAGGCACTGTTCTAAGCCAGTTATTACATGCTGTTCCTTTGAGCTATTTACTGTTCAATACACACCTAGGCCAAATATTTTTTTCTGACAAGCAAATAAAAGATTAGCAGCGTAATAGTAGGATAAGAAAATGAGTACATTCTATTTTCCTTGATTTATTTTCAAGGTTACTTTAGGCCAGTAACAACTGTTGTATTTTCAATCACTTAAAAAGCTTGTTTGTATGAGTGATTAGCAAAGATACTATTACTATTAAAGAGCCCTTTATACATTTTTCAGAAATAAAATAAGTGTTTAAAGAAACAAGCATATTCAAATCAGGTTAAGCTATTTGTTCTTCCCTTCCTCAATTAAAAACAGGATAAAAGTTATCAATTAAAGGGCTCAATACTGTGCCCTTGTATGAATACCCCTTTATCATGAGTGTAACCCCAATGAGACCAGTAAGGCCACATGTGTGAAGAAGGGTAGGCCAAAGGGTAGGCCATATTTAGGATCCTGTTAAAGAATATTTTTTAAAATCCTTCCATTGCTATTGGACCACCTGCCCTTTGATGTACTATTTCCAGAAGAAACCTGCTGTTTTTAGTAATGCTGTTTCAGCACAACGGAGCCAAGCAGCAAAATGACTAAGGTAAGAGGTTATTACAATCTGCATCATTTGATCATGAACTTTTTTCTGGAGTTCTGTCAAATATTCGCTATCTCTTATGCACCTCTATAACTGATTCCGTCTGAAATGTGACAAAAAAAATTACAGCTTTCTTGCAAAAACTGAAAATTAAAGATAAAAGGATTAAATGTTCCACCTACAATCATGAATTACTATTACTAATTCTGCTCAGTGCACCTTACTACAATTCCTCATTCTAGACTATATACTATTTATATTACCATTGGAAATATGAGCTAACTATTTTCTCTCTGAGGAAGAGAAAATAGGAAACCACTCCTGACATGAGTTAGTCATTATATTAGTTTTATCCTTGGAGGCTGCTCAGATACTATGAGGATGAGCATGATATAAAAAGCCAAACAGAAAAGAACTAGTCTATTCCTTAGCTACACTCTTGCTGCTGTCATCGGGACTCGATGCTGTCATCAATTAGCCTTGACCAGTTGGTGAAACTGAATCAATATCTGCCGGCTTTGCACTTTCATGCTTTTAAAAAAGTGTTTGGTTCTTTTTATTGCAAAGATTGTCTTCCAAACATAAAACTGCCAAATCTGAACCAAGCATCACCTGCAAGAATGTCATCTTCCTGAATTTGCAGATTGCATCACTGCCTCTGCTTCTTTGCACTTCTTTGCTAAGCAGTCAGTTTCAAAATATTATTCCAGTCCTGCTTTGGAAAGTTCTTTGCAGGAACAAATGCAGGCAATGGAATTACTCATTAGGCAAGAAGACAAAACCTGGAGGCTGAATGAGATGCATACTATTGGAAAGCTCTTCAGAAGCCTGGAAAAGGAATACAAGTGAGGACCCAAAATACAGGTCTATGTAGCACTTTAAAGACTAACAAGATGGTTTATTAGATGATGAGCTTTCGTGGGCCAGACCCACTTCCTCAGATCAAATAATGGAAGAAAATAGTCACAACCATATATACCAAAGGATACAATTTAAAAAAAATGAACACACATGAAAAGGACAAATCACATCTTTGAAAAAACAAAGAAAAAACAGTTGCTTGTCATCTCAACCAGAAAGGATGTCTGTGAGTTAATAGTATTAGAGGTGATAATTGGGGAAGCTATCTTTGTAATGGGTAAGATAGCTGGGGTCTTTGTTAAGTCCCGTGCGGAGAGTGTCGAATTTTAGCATGAATGCCAGTTCAGAGGATTCCCTTTCAAGTGCAGATTTGAATGTCTTCTGAAGTAGGATGCAGGTTAGCAGGTCATTCAGACAGTGTCCTTTCTGGTTGAAATGACAAGCAACTGTTTTTTCTTTGTGATCCTGTCTAAGTGAGGACTCGTCTTCCTACTCTTGTAGCTGCCCTGCAAGAGAGAGATTGTTACTTCTTCTGCAGCAAGAAGTTTGAAATTTAACCTAGAGTGGATTTTGTACCAGTTTTGATTAGTAGCAACTCCCAAAAGAGAACTACAGGCAGGAGCTAGAAGAAAGCTCATCTTTTCTCAACAGCTTGGGATGGCAGGTCTACTTGACATTTTTGGGTACATCTACACTGCACAGTTATTCCAGAATAAACTACACTGCAGGGAAGCCTCAAAATTAGTCCAAGGCAGGCTTCCCTAATGTAGACGTGCTATCTCGATTTAGAGCCCCAGGAAGAATAACTCAGAATGGCCCTGGTGAGGGGCTACTTCGAAATAAAAGAAGTGGAGCATCTACACGCACCTTATTTCAAAATAGCTATTTCGGAATAGGCATTATTCTTTGTAGAATGAGGTTTACAAAAGTCAGAATAAGCTGCCCATTATTTTGAAATTATTTTGAAATAACGGAATGTCTGTGTAGACGCTCGCATAGTTATTTCGGAATAACAGTGTTATTCTGAAATAACTTTGCTGTGTAGACACACCCTTCTATTTCCAACTACAGGTTGCACCTATAAAATCCAGGATTCTCTGATTTGGCAATATCCGTGGTCCAGCATGACCATGGATGTTCCAGGACCAGAGAGTCCTGGCATGCTGCAGCGGGGTGGGGGCCCGGGAGCCAGCCCATGGCTCTGCTGGGCTGCTGAGGGAAGGGAGCAGGAAGCCAGCACACAGCTCAACTGAGCTGCAAAGGGTGGGGCAAGGAGCCAGCGTGCAGCTCAGCTAGGCTGCGAGGAGAGCCAGAAAGCGGAGAAGGGGCCATTGGGGGGGACCCCTGAAATGATCTCCCCTGGCCTGGAAAAATCCCTCATCCAGGACCAGGGTGTCGGAACAGGGAGGTCCAACCTGTAGTACATGTTTAGCAAACATTTCAAGCTCTGGCAGTCAATTATCTCTCTTTGCAATGTCCAGTCTTAAATGTCAGAGATCTCTAACAAAACATATGTGGGTTTTTTTGTTGCACCTAATTACTATCTTAGCTCCAAGTTACTATGAGCTACTTCCAAGGCTTTGGAGCGGAGCTCGGAGCAGTGGAGCTGCAGGTTTTTGCCCGGAGCTGGAGCAGAGCTGGAGCACAGAAAATCTTGACTGCTCTACTGCTCCAGCTTTTTTTTTTTCATTTTCAATCCAAAATGAATTGTGCTACCTGAAAATGTATGCGGCAACCCATGGAAACAGAAATTTCTTTGCAATCAATGCTCAGTACTACAAAGAAGGAAAAGATAAAGCTGTAGTAAAAACCTTAATCGACACTGAAGGGCGTCACAATTCTTCCTATGTGAAAAGTCAAGTAAAAGCTATTTTAGAAAAATTTGGGATCAGTGAAATGCAAGTGCTGAGCATCTGCATTGACAATGCAGCAAACATGACGTGTACCGTCAAAAATTTCAGCTAGGACAATGAAACCATTTCTACCTCTGAGAACAGAGATGTGGACGGAACTGAAGCTATTTTGCCTGATGAAGGAACTAAAGGAATGGATGAAATCAAACTCCACATGGATGCTGCTGCGCAATGGATAAATGACCCTAGCCTCATACTTCCAACATGGCTTCATGAGGACGACTCAATAGTCCAACTGATGAAGTGTGGTATTTACACACTTCAGTTGACAATCTGGGATGGACTGAACAAAGAACATGGGAAGGAATTTCTGGCAAAAATTTGACAAGTCGTAGTCAAACTACAAACCCCAAGTATTCCAAGTGTTCTGCTTGATCTACATGGGGTAACTCAATCATTGGATACTGTGACTCGCTGGGGTTCAACATTTGCGATGCCTCTCGTTTTTCAATCTTACTGGGAACATGTGGCTGCTGCTGGAACAAGAGAACTCAAGTTAACAAAAACTGAATGGGACGATGGGAACCTGCGAGACCTCCTGGCAAAGCCAAACCAAACAACTGTAAATCTTCAAGCTGTTGATGTAACCCTGGGAGTTTTAATGAAGGAATGGCGAAAACTGTCAAAATTCTTGCAAGAAAATGGTGGACAAATTGCAGAAAGAATTCTATCCTCCATGCAGAAATGCGAAGAGAAGCTTTTTGACAATATTCATTTCCTTGCGGGAGTTTATGTTGACCCACAGTATAGGATTCTTCTTACCTCGAGGGAAATACCAAAGGCAAAGGAAGGGCTCCTTGATGTTATTCAATGACTCGAAAAACAAAATCTATTGCTACATTTGAACTCAGCAAAAGAGGTTGAAGAAAACGAAACACAACAAAAGGAGTCATCAACAATCAAATCTGCAGTTTCAGAAAGTTCAACATCATTCATAAATAGCAGGCTGTTCTCAAACTTCCGTCTCCACTCTGAATTTGTTTGAGCGTCCATCCCTGAGACATCTTCAACCATCACAGGGAAATGGAAATAATTCAAGCACCAATTCTTCAGAAGATGATGACTTTGAAAAGGAATTGGATAAACAAGAAAGACGCCGGCGAGTTTCAGTGATTCATAATTGTAATGAAGCATTATTGGAGAGAAACTTTCGGGAAGATTGAGAGTCTATGGAGTTTACTGGTAGGCTAAAAGTTAAGACTGTTTTTGAGGCCATTCACAGCTACCCACACCGCATTTAGGCTGCTTGTAGAATTGTTTCGAGCATGCCAACAACAAGCTAGTGTAGAGCGACTGTTTTCAGCTTTAAAGTTAATTTTAAATGATCTGCGGCAGGCTATGAAAGACTACTTGATTGCTGCAATAACTTTTTACAGATTGAATTATGAATTATTCTAGTTTGTATCATTGTTGATGACATTTAAATTGTTTTAAAACCCTGAATAAAAATCATGTTTTTTCAAAATTACAGTATACACTTTATTTAGTTAAAAATTAATTTGAGTCAGAGCTCGGAGCAGAGTCAGAGTGGAGCTGAAGCAGTCACTATTGGTGCTGGAGCGGAGCAGTTCAAAAATTGGATTGCTCCAAATCCCTGTCTATTTCCCTTAATAACTACCAAACTGTCTCAGATTCATCACAGAAGAAAACGACATTTATATTAAAAGATAGATATGCGATTACAAATTACTTTGCTATTAATAGAATACTGATCATTTCTATTAATTTCTGTCTCAATCTTCCTTCATTTAATTACAAGGATCTATTGTAAGCAGGCCTGTTGCTTTGTGTAATAATTATGTACTTTACTCATGAAAGTCCTAAGTATAGTAATGACCTGAAGTCTTCAGCCTGTCAGCTATTAAAGCAGTGGAGAGAAGGAAAGGAGAGAGATCAACCTCTTGCTACACAGGGCCTCCTGATAGCTGAATCACAGAGCAAATTTTGCATTGGCCTAGGAGGTTGCACATACAGCCTTCTAGAAAAGGAGGGGAGTATAACTGTAATAAAAGCAAGGGGTCTCCATAGACTGAAGGAGTGGGTATCTCTGGTTTCCCATTAATAATAATAATTTGCATTGCCACAGTGCCAAGGAGCTCTAGTCCATGGACCAGAACTTCTTGGTATTACCCATAGCTGGGTTATTTGCAGGCAAGGAAAGAACTATTCTTTCAATAACTGAGCAGACATGTCATTGCTTTAAAAAAAACTAGATTGCTGCAATTCTTTAAGAGCTATTTTGGTTTATAAGATTTTACATAATTTTAAAGAAAATGGCTCCAGAACAAGTACAGCAACAATATTAAAAATCTCCTTCCTCATCTGGCACTATAGGGTCAGAGTTTTTCACTGACTGTATTTGTATTTCCTAGTTGGGTTGTATTTCCTAGTTGGGTTGCATTTTTGGCCCTTTCCCTCTCCCCCTCCCTCAGGAAAATCTTTGTCAGGACAAAATTTGCCTGAATGTTTGATTTGGTGGAATCTCTATTGTCTTGTTTCTCTGAAGATCTACTGCTTGAGAAGTAGGAAACTAAGTTTATTCTGCTAAAATCTGGGTTGAACATACAGGCAGTCCCCGGGTTACGTACAAGATAGGGACTGTAGGTTTGTTCTTAAGTTGAATCTGTATGATAGTCGGAACTGGCGTCAGCCGCTGCTGAAACCGATCAGTTTCAACCACCAGTTGAATCTGGACACCAGTTCTGACTTACATACAGATTCAACTTAAGAAACCCAGGCGTCCCCAAGTCAGCTGCTGCTGAAACTGATCAGCGGCTGATTCCAGGAAGCCTGGGGCAGAGCAACTCTGCCTCC